AATAATTTGACATTGGATACAGTTAAAAATTATATTTTGATGACATTACTTATAGGACTTTTAGTAAAATAAAGCTTTATCTCTCAAAAGTTCAAATATATTTACATGAATGAAAATGTTGGATTGTTTACATTTCTGTCAAGAAAAGAACAAAGAAGATCATAATTATTATTTATTTCAGGATAAAACTCAAATTGTTGTCCATATAGGAAAACACACCTGTTTGACTATTACTACAACCCGTATACCAATAATCTACCCAACCCTATAATGATATTTGATATATTACTAATTCAGTAAAAAATTTATTGAATGAGATTCGGATAGAAAGGGAGATAAAAAGGTGAACTTCAATTAGAAATTACTTTTATTTATGAAGAAAATACTACCATATAATATACATCAACAACATGTACCAGATCTCATGGAGGAATCGTTCACTTTTGGTGATAGATTGTTTAAAAGAGTTGGTATAGTAAATCATTTGGGCAATGTTTATCCCAATCATCAACTAGAATATCAACCTATAAATAAATGAATTCATTTATTTTTATCTATATCCTTAAAGAATTAATGATAGATGTGAGTACATATCCGAAACTATACTGTAATAAATAATAATGGTTTATAATTTTCCGTTATAATTATTTAAGACTTTAAATGACTAGTTCCTGTTAGCATGTGTAAATTCTAAGTGAGTTATCTCGATGTTACCATTTAGTTACAAGTTGAACTAAAGTTGAATTCCAATTAGCATTCAAATCTAAAACTCATATTTTATACTATTTAAGAATGATAAATTGTAGTGTAGAAAAACAACGATGGGAAATTACAAATCCTTACTGATAACTTCACACTCATTAAACAAGATAATGGATACCTGGATTCATTAACTTAGTAGATTATGAGTTAGGCATTGGATCTGAGTTTCATTGTAAGCAAAAACATCACACACAAAAAAGATATAATTACATCCATATGATAAGTTCTAAATAAAATGAAACGCGTGTCCTCTGTTCCCTTACTAATCACAGTTCAACTTGACTAAATTGTACCTTCTTGAGTATTTTAAGTTTCACTATTCAAGTGAATAAAAGTAAGAAGAATGAATTCAACGTTACTATTTGTTAATCTTAAATCTATTGTTTCTGTAAATTAATCATTTTCATAAATTATTTATACCTACAAAACGTCTTTGCATTGATCTAATATCATTTAATCTACTGACAGTTAACTGAATTGTTTAATCATTTAGGTAATGTTTATTCCAATCATCAGTGACCAGTGGAGTTCAGTCGGGTCTGTTGTGAGATAGTAACTCACTGATGACAATGGTGGATGCGACGCTCAATTTCGTGGATTGGTTGAAGTTACACATTAACAGTGTTGAATGCTGACCGGCTCAGTGGTCTAGAGGTTAAGCGTTCGCGCGCGAAACTGATATGTCCTGGGTTCGAATTTCGTGAGGCGGGGTTGTGGATGCGGAACGCTGAGGAGTCTCAGAATAGGATGAAACGGTCGTCCAGTGCTTACAGGTTGTCATGGTGGTCTAGCTTCAACTGACCTATGAACTCAACCATTAAATCGTTTAATTTTAGTTTATAAACAAATGCAAGTGTTCAATGGGAAACTTACTAAAAACAGAATAAATCAGAATAATTCTAATAATGAGCCTAAATAAGTCTCATTATGAACTGATATTTACTAGATAAATAAACAGACCAATGAAGTAATCTGTAATTGTTATTCCCTATTTTGAAATACCTTAATAATACTCAGTTTCAATGGTACACAAAATCTGACCTGTAAAAAAGGGGGACAAAACAATATACAAAATCACGAAAAACTCCAGCTACTGACTAGATGTTATCAGTAAAGAAACAAATGTGGGTGATAACACCTAAAGAACTAAGTATTTTAAAGGTTTATGTTATTACCATAACCATGATTACTAATTAAGATTTCTGAAACATTTGAAACCAAAAGAAAGTTATTTTGAAGAAGAATAATTCTGTTTCTATTTTGAAAAGAGCAAGAACAAAGATCCTAGCAAAATAACATGAATTCAATTTATTTCGTTGGTTCCCATCAGCTGCTTACAACCTGTGATATTTAAAATCATAATTATAAAATGGGTTTAAATTACTTACATGAGAGGTTTGGTTGAAAGTTATATTAAAGACACATTAGTGTAGTATATCAAGGGTGTAAATAAACTTAATAGACTGAATATTGTAAATATGTACTTTATATGAAAGAACATTCTATAACATTGATTGTGACAACAGTTCAAACGGCCAGAAACAAGTGATGATATAATGAGTAGACGTTGATAGGAATAAAATGAGTAAAGCTCAGTTGATAAATTAAGTTTACTAATTTAGAAGGTAGTTGCAATAAAAGCCAACGTTGTAATGAATGCAAGAAAGGGTTTGAAGAAAAAGGGAAAAAATCTTACGATGCAGCGAAGGAATATTTGCCACCAAGGCAAAGAAAGATTAATAACCATCTCATTTTGAACATATAATTTAGGTTTTCGACGCCTGATGGCAACGGCTTCAGCAAACCACAGAAGACTGGAATTTGACTGCTTACTAATCACCTTGAAAAATCACAAGGTATCGACCTGATGTCTTGTATCAAGGAGATGTTTAATAATTGCACTGTTTAGAGTCTTTCGTTCTGTCGTTCTGAGGCTTTTTGGAACATGTTCAAAAAATCTGAGATATGCCCTCCTTTCTGTTCGGCTACTTTAGTAGGTACACGTAAATTTTTAAATACAGTTGGCGGTAACATGAAAGGGATGTTTGTCAACCTTTGAGTTACTGAAAATGTTGTTTTATACAGAATTAAAAACTTGACTGCCGGATAAGTTCTGACTAGCTCAGTGTTCATTCGCCTTCTGATTGTGTTTACAAACACAATATTTAGTCTATTAAATTTATTTACACCCTTGATATACTACACTAATGTGTCTTTAATATAACTTCCAACCGAACTTCTCATGTAAGTAATTTAAACCCATTTTATAATTATGATTTTAAATATCACAGGTTGTAAGCAGCTGATGAGAACCAACGAAATAAAATGAATTCATGTTATTTTGCTAGAATCTTTGTTCTTGCTCTAATCAAAATGATAAAGGGAACTATGTGTATGAAGTTTTTATTTCTTAAGGTGTAAGGAAAGAGAGATTTAAATAAATGAAAGATTTTAATATGTATTGTATTATTATATTCTAAATGTGATAGAAACGTCATATAATATATTGACTATGTTTATTCCAACACACTTTCAACTGAATACGATGTGAAATCCATGGAACTCTACTGTTATAGAAAATTTCAAGATGGATTTCTTCAAGTTCTAATGAAAAACCATGACCAGTGGAGTTCATTTGTATCTGATTTGACGTAATTGCTCACTAGATAAAATGGAAGAGGTTCGCGCAATATTGTGAATTGGTTGAATATAAACAATATCACCGTTGGGTACCATTTCAGCGATTTGGAAGTTAAGCGTTCGCTCGCGAGATCGAAGGTCCTGTGTTCAAGTTCCACACGCTAAATCGTTGATGCGCACTACTGAGGAGTCCCATACTTAGATGAAACGGTCGTCCAGTGCTTCCAGGTTTTCAATAGTGATCTAACTTACATCAACTCATAAATTCAGCCATTAAAATAAATAAAGTCATTCAATGGTTTAGATTCCCAACGCATGTTAGATTACCGATGTTGTACAATCACTATTGAATACAATGTTTCAAGATTTACTATTTACTACAATTGAATTCATTAAATACATTACACGTTATCAATGCAGTCATTGCTATACTGATTCGAAATGGTAAATCAGTATGATTTAATTTATTATATCACTCAATACTACTGACAATCTTTAAACTACTGTGTTTGTTTTAAGCATACATATTAACTGGTTGGACTAATCAGTTGAAATTACATCTATTTAAACAAATTAAATGTAAAAGTTTCAATTAAGATCATTCAAAAGTATAAATTTATTCAAATAAATATTTTACATATGTATATACAGTGATCTTTTGTACATGTCAATAATCTATACCAAAAGTCAATAAGGATATAATAATAATCTCCAATAGAAACCATCTTTTGTTTATTGTTGTAGAAATTTGCCAATTTCAAATCTTCATTTCTGAACTCATTACTAATCATAATTCCTCTTTTCATGAAATATCTTGGAATTCTTTAACCATAGAAGAGGAATGTATATGAAGTTTCAAGTGATGATTAGTCGTAAAAATGAGGACATTTAACTTTTGATGAATTTCACGGATTAGTTTCGTAGAATTCTTCTTAACCAATTCATTAGATTGAATATTGACACGTTCTGTGTAAAAAAAAACAAAAAAGAAAACAAATTTTTCCGGTAAAATATCAAATTGATGTAACTACAGTTATATAAAATACGATCATTCAAATAGGTGGTGCTTGATTTCCTTTAACAAAGTTATCTATGTAGCTTAGTAAGACGGTTAAAGTGTAAGATTTTGAAACTATGACATTACTATAACAAACTTAATTATGATCTCTTCTTAAAAACAATTTGACAAGAAATTGTATGATACCTGAAGGAAAAAGAAAACAACAGACCTGGTTGAAATCCACTGGTCACTGCTTCTCACTAGAACTCTAGAAAATACCTCTTGAAACCAGTCACTAGTGAGTATATGTTGATTAATATCAGAAGGGGTTTTGTGGGGATTGTAGCCATTTCAATAGTTGAGATCATGAATCCATTGAATGCGAACTGCTCAGGAGTCCCACAGTAGGACAGAACGGCCATCTAGTGCTTCCAGGTTCTCCATGGTGGTCTAGCTTCAATTGACTCATGATCTCAACTACTGTAGTTTAAATCAATAATCGACTGTTTCAGTATTAAATAATGATTAGTTACTATTAAACATATATATTACTTCCAAAATCATATCATCTTAAATAATCTAGTTACTAGAATCTTACCTCTTGTTCATACGATTGATTTATCAAGATAACAGAAAATTCATTAATAACTCTTTGTTGTAAACAAGATTCCATATTAACCATCTTAATATTCATTAATTCCTGATCTAATTCATCACCGATAATTGACAATTTCCGTCCCAACAAAGTTGGTTCACTATTGATCTTATGTTTCATCGATAATACAAGAACATGAATTTTGAAACTCAATGGATATATATATATATATATATATATATATATATATATATATATATATATATATTATATATAAAGAGAGGGAAAGAGGGGGAGGGTGATTATTTGTGAGATGATTAGATCAGAATAAACTTGAAAGAAAACTAACTATTCACTTTTGATTTGTTTAAATTATTTATCAGCGAATAAGCATAATTAAAATGATATCCCCTAGATGAATCATGAAAGTCTAAAATTATAACTGGTTAAAAGAAAAATAAGAATAGACTATAATATATATCCCCTTTACCAAACAACAAAATATGTTCCAATATAAAATAAGGTGGGAGTAAATTTCTGGTTTTAGAAAAAAATAAATCAAAATAACCAATAGAATTCTTTTCCGATTAGTTTAAAACTTGACACATATTGCTGCGATGGAGAAAAAAACACACTTGCGATTCTACTATATTTTGATCCTTTGCGTAGGTGGGCGGTTGTTCGTTTTCATTTTACCAGCGAATTATAAGGAACTTAATTCTTTTAAAAAAAATAGAGACAGGGGTAAATTCATTAGCTAATTTTTATATATCGTATTGTGACGAACTCCGTTCTGTAAGGACGAGATGGATTCCAAACAATGAAGTCAGTTTAGGAATTATCACATAGAATATAAACAGATTATCGTGTATTCTTTTATTATATGAAAGAATCATTTATGATTTTAATTAGAAAGTAATTTACATCATGAAACTGACTGTAGCTAAAATTCACTGAAGATCATGTAGCATTGGATACACATTTCATTCTTAGAATGAGACTCAACAAGTGTATAAACCAGACAACTTATACGGGTTCAAGTCTACGACTTTCATGTTAGTGTACATTTACACATATAATAGCACCAAATTAATAGTAATTAGAGTTAGTGGTTAAAATGAAGTGACTTCATAATACATAAAAACGGTAATGAGATTTTAAAATAATGAAATGTATAAAATGAGTGAAGTAGTGACTGATCATTCTAAAAAGTTATTAGAAAAAAACTCCATATAAAGAAGAATTCATGTTTCATTACCATCAATGAATACTTTTTAATTCTATAAATTCTATCAGATATCTGCAACTATGACGAAAGTTATGACAGTCACTGATTGATTACTCAATTGGTGACTCGTGTCATTGTTCACCTAATTCTTAATTATATTCACCAATTTAAACGCTATTAATATAGGGTTGTGTTTTAATTGAGATCATGAACTAATCAATGATAGGCTACCACTGAAAACCTGGAAACACTGCAAGACTGTTCCGTTCTAGTACGGGACTCCTCTACAGCACACAATATCGTGGATGGGTTAGAGTTAGACGTTAACAACGTTGGATGCTGAATCGGTGGTCTATAGGTTAGGCGTTCGTGTGCGAGGCCGAAGGTCCTGCGTTCAAAACCCGAGTGCGAGATCGTGGATATGGATACGTTCGTCCAGTGCTTCCAAGTTTCTAATGATGGTCTAAGATTGATTGGTTCATAATCTCAATTAAAATTTAAACACGATTTTGAGTGATCTAACATCCTGTGCATCATGTTATAGTGTTACATCATCGGAAATAACTATCTAGATGCAGGAAAATGGAATCCAGTTCGTGATAGTTAGATACCACGGTAAATATTATATTATTTATCTATACCATAAAAGTTTAACTGTTTGGATTTTCAACTGCTGTCAAATCGTGATATGATACAAACACCATCTAGTGTTATCAGTGAGTTTTTGTAGGTTTTTATGATCGAAATGTATTTTAATGTGGAATTAATTGTAATACTCTATACATACTATAGAAGACTCCTAACTGATATAATATAAGTAATAATATCTTTTTATTGGTTTCAAAAATATTCAAGAGAATAAAGTCTTAATTAGATGAAGTAAATTGTTAAGAAGATTCAATGAAAGGAGAAAATGGTCAATTAATGATTGATTAGTATTATTTTTTTTAGTACTTGAGTACAGCCAGAATTCTATTGATCAAGTTTTATTATGGCAGCTAGTGTAAGTAATTCGACGAGTACACTATGGTAAGATGTAAAGTGGTTAGAGGTAGTTGGCATGTAAATGTGAATCTGGATTTCTCTCTAGTCACCACTCATCAGCAGAATGTACCTGTTATCTCCCAGGAACTAATACTCTTTCTAGTTCGAAACCCTCATCAGTCCAATTTATCATCTGCTTAACTATTCATGAGCTGGTTGAACGTAATTCAATATATTGATTAATTTCGGGAAAAAACATTAACTAGTTAACTGAAATCGGAGGTTTGAATGGATCAATACTAATTCAGTGATCTAAGGAGTTAAGATTCCGTGTCAGTACGTAAAGGTCCTTGACTAGATCTCTAGCATGGTTGTGGGTACTTATGGCTTTGTAATTCTATAATGGGAATAAATAATTATCCAAAGAACTATAATTTTCAGTGGTTTTCTAGTTAAAGTCGTTCCCTACTGTAATCTATAAATAATAACTATATATACAGTGGCTAGTGTAATCTGTGAATGAACAGACCCTAATTAAATCTGAATATATCAACAAATTTTAGTTAATATAACGTAATTTACTGGTTGTATTAATTATAAATTGGTCTCATTTGATGTTCCATTAAAAACCAGGACGCACTGGACAGCTATTTTGATAGTACGCTGCTGAAGAGTTCTAGATTAGGAAGAAAATGTCATTAAGTACTTCCTACTTTTTAGTGGTACCCAACTAAGATCAACCTGTGACAATTACACAACTTACAAATTGAACCAATCTTTACTAGACCTCATCAACTAAAGTTTAGTACAATATGATTTTCATCATAACTATTTCAACAAATAAATTTACAATAGTTGAGATCATGAGTCAATTGAAGCTAGACGACCATGGAAAACCTGGAAGTACTTGACGGCCGTTTGGTCACATTGTGGGATTTCTCAGAAGTGAGCATACACGATCCCGCCTCGAACCCAGAAACTTCGGTCTCGTTCGCAAGCGCTTAACCTCTAGACCACTGAGCCGGTCGGCATCCAATGGCGTTAATTTCTAGTTACTAGTGGTTAAGCGTTCGCGCGCGAGACTGATAGGTCCTGGGTTCGGATCTCACGAGGTGGAATCGTGGATGCACACTGACGAGGAGTCCCGCAGTAGAATGAAACTGTCGTCTAGCTTCAAATGACTCATGATCTCAACTATTGAAATTACTATAATATCCACAAAAACCCCTTTAAATAAATATACATAAAAATATTACTCCTTTGAATTCACTATTCAAAAATTTAGATACGGATAGATTATATGGTTTTCCCAAGCAGAAAGTAGTTATCCTTTTAGAAGAAAATTTAATTATTAGATACAGATGATTTATTTGTATACTGCAGTCTTAATTAACACCGACATATCATTCGTTCCAGTACACTGTTATCTAGTCTACAATCACATATTTTTTGTAGCAGCATACAATGCACAATATCGTACTATTATTATGCATGAAGAATTTCAGCAATACTACTGATACATAGCTTGAATAGTAATATTTTCTATGTTTAACATCAACATAAATCACTGTTTTGTTTCCATATCATTTCTTACACAATAAGATTAATGTTAATTATTAGTTCCTAGGATTAACACTTTCTAACATCCAAATATGAATAATATTCAAAACATACTTACTTACTTAATTACTTACGCTTATTACCCCTCGCGGAGCAGCATGGGCTGCCCACCAGGATGGGGTTAGTATCCCCATCCCGTAGAAAACAACCTTGCTGAAAAAAACGTTAATCAAAGCATACTACTAGTCTGAAATATGTAGTATGTTAGATGTTTTTCTTAAATTTATCATAATCACCATCACCACCATTTATTTGTAACCTTTAAAAAAAATATTACTGTAATTCTTCCTGATAGTTTCACTTGGAGATTACATAAAGTATGGCATTGATTACACCTCTGTTTGTGCTTGTTGTTGTTTTTGTTGTCACCTTTTATTTACAGACAAATAAATCAACATGTGAAATTTAAACACATTAACCTTGGGAGATTTTTTCTTTAAATATTACAATAAAATACAAAGTATTCAACATTGAAGTTTGTTATAAGTCATTTGCGTGAATGATTTCAAAAGAACTAGACTTTGACTATCTGTTTTATTCACCAAAAAAAGACTTTCTATAAAGATTTTTACGAGTTCCATGAAACCAACTACAGATCAAAGTGAAAATTTATTTTTACAATTGAGTTCCATAAGAGAATTGGATTTTCACAATAGATTTCTTGTAAAATGAAAGAAAACAAAAGTCCGCATATCTTTTCGGAATAAATTCTAAAGTTTTATGTTTCATTCGATTTTGTTACATTAAAATAGATTGACTAAAACATTAACTAAAGACATTAACACCTTTGGATGCCGGCTCAGTGGTCTAGTTGGTTAAGCGCCTGGCGCGAGACTGATAGGTACTGGGTTCGAATCCCGCGAGGCGGGGGCGTAGATGCGCACTGCTGAGGAGTCCCACAATAGGACGAAACGGCCGTCCAATGCTTCGAGGTTTTCCATAGTGGTCTATCTCCAATTGACTCATGATCTCAACTGTTTAAATTACTACAATCTCCACAAAACCCCTTCTCATATTAAAGCACTTCTGTTCATGAATTTTAAAGTGTTTTATTCTATGATGTAGAAAAAAACTAAACAGAAACAATTTATGAGATTATTTAAAGTTGTTGGGATAGTTAATACAGTTCTATTTTGTAATTATACACATTTTCTACAAGGGTTTTTTCGGTAGTTGATTCTATGTTAAGCCCACATAGACTGTTCTAGTTTCTGAACAGACCAATGTATTCATTCTTTTCAAACCACATTTTGACCTTGTCACTTATTGACTTATTAACTCTGACTATTTTTTATATGATCGTATGTGTGCTGATTGCTCAACCTATT